GGGTGTCTGTCACCCGTGCACCCCAGCCTTCCAGTCTCTGAGGTGACGGGCATGTGGAGGTGACCGGAAAGGGGACCCCAGTCAGTGCCTTGAGGTGTCCCCGGGCTGTCCTGTAGGACAATCAATCCCAGAGCTCGAGCTGGAGGGGCCAGAGCTGGGCTGCACACCTGGCTCTATGTGCACAGCTGGTGCGCCAGGAAGCGACGGGACCTCTGGCCCCTACGCCGCACCCCTTTGATTCTCGGGTCATCACCCGCCTTCCTGGGTCCTTTCCTGTGCGCCCCAGTGACCTGGCCTAGCACGTCCCAAACCTCTGCCCGCTCCCTTCCCTGAGCCTCCGGCCTCCAGCCTCTGGTGTGCGCCTCCGCCCACTCTCCCAGCTCCTTCTCACGTTTTTGCTTCTGATTTGGACTCCCCGGGGCTCCCTGACCTCCCACCTGCTTCTGGTGCCAATCGCTGGCACCTTCTTTGTGACTGTTTCTAAGCCCACTCCTCTCTCCGAATCAGGATCTCCAGGGCCGAACACCGAGCTCTTTGGTTCCAGATCCCAGCTCCCCCCGCAGTTTCCCACCAAAAGGATTCAGGCCAAACTGACCCAGCGGCTGAGGGGCCGCAGAAGTCATTAGCAGTGGGTTCGGCGTGGCCAGGGCGGGGCCGGGGTCCCGCCGCGACTGGACTCCGAACGCTAAAGCGCGCAGGACCCTGCTCAGCGCGCGGACCGCTCCGCCGTAGGTTAGAAGCAGCTGGATTCGGCGCCGTAGGCTGATCAGGGGCCGTGGGCGCGGACGCCCCCTGGAGGCCGAGCTGCTTCTAAGCGCTCAGGGGCGATGCCTCGGACGCCCCCTGTCGGGCCGCGTCGGGCCTGCGCCCCACTGCATTTCGGCAGGTAAGTCAGCTCCCAGAGTGTGGTTCACGCCCCGCCCGCCGCTCCTGCCACTCCCGCGGCCAAGGCAGTGGGTTCCGCAGTGGGCCGGGGTGGAGGGTGCGGAGAGGAGCCGCGGAAGGTCCCGCCTCGCCAGCCTCGGGCACCCCAGGTTCAGGATGAGTCCTCTCGTCAGGCTGGGCAGTCCCAGAGCCCGGGGGCAGCTCCGTCTCTGCCCAGGGACTGCCCTCTGCCCCTGCCCGTCCTACTCTCTCTGCCTTTTCTCTTCGGGGCCTTGTCTGTCGCGGTGTCTCTGTGTATGTCTGTATGTCTCTGTTCCTTATCATCTGGCTGGCTATCTGGCTGGCTGTCTCCTCCTCTGAACTCTCTACCTGGCTTTGTCCCTCTGCGGCTGTTTCTCTGTCTCTGTGGTCTCTCCTTCCCTCCACATCTCTCTGCCTCGCCGTGTCTCATTACAGATGCCTCTGCCGCTCTTTATCTCTGTCGTTCCCCTCCCATTCACTAGTTGGAGTCCTATTCTCTGGCTTGCTGCTCCTGAGGGCGGGGGCTGCAGCAGTCCTACGGGACAGCCCGGGGACACCTCGGGGCACTGACTGGGGTCCCCTTTCCGGTCACCTCCACATGCCCGTCACCTCAGCAGGGCTCCGTCTTCCCTCTGCAGCTGTGGGGCGTGGGGGGCGGAGCCCTGGGGGGAAGACACGGTGCCCAGCATCTGCTCGGGAGCCCCGAGGCCCCTGACCCTCCTGCCGCTATTAAGGGCTCCGGGTCCCGAGGCTCGGAGATGATCATGATTGCATCAGCTAGACAGCGGAGGAGCCGGGAGCCGCTCGAAGAGCGAACGAGGGAGCGAGGGAGCGAGACAAAGACGCCCGCGCCATCTGTTTATGCAAAGCACTCTCCGCCGGGGACCCCGGCGTCCCGGTGCCCAGCCCGGCTCGGGGCACCAGGTCAGGAGCCCGCTCCTGCTGGTGCCCCCGCGGCGCCTCGGCTGTCCCTCTCCCAGCACCCAGAGGGGCTGCGGGCGAGCGGAACCGAGGGGGGCGGGGGGTTGTTGATGTGATTGGAGCGGACGCGGCTGTTTCTTCAATAATGGATGGAGATGATGCGGACGGCGCAGCTAAGCCCGCCCGGAGAGGAGAGGACTGGAGATCGGAGAGGGAGGGGTGTGGGGGGCGGGTGGGAGAGGCAGCCGGGCGCGCAGGCAGACACACAGCGCGCCTGCGTCACACTGTCTTTCGAATACCCGCCGCCGTGCGGTTCACACCCAGGCACACGCCCACGCACTGTCACAGAGGCGCACACACCTGCAAGTGTAGATGCCAGAGCAACACACACTCGCTAGCGGCTCTTCCTGATTCTCACACAGACACAGTCCCCGCGGGCAGAGACCCACGGAAATGCCTACGCGGGCACACCCAGGCGTGAAGAATGCAGAGACACGCCAAAGCACATGTGCACACCTAGACACCCAGGGGCTTAGACTGACGAAAATAATAGAAGTGGGGGGGGGGCAGGATGGTGACAAGACAGATACGTATTCAGGGTACAGGGGCACACACCAACGTGCCCACTCGCCTCACACACTTTGGAGCACACACGCACACACACACCAGGGACATAGACACCCATAATTGCCAAGGGCACAGAGACCCCCACACGTTCAGAGGTTGGCACCCACACACCCGCAGGAGCCGCGACCCGGTGGAGGAGTGTGGTGGAGAGGTCGCTGGAGTCCCTGCTGGAAGCCTTGTTATTCTAGCCGCATAATGAGGTCCTGATGGCAGGAGGGCCTGCTGACAGGAGGTGCCCGGGGCTATTGACCCTGCACCCTGTTTGACTGCCTGAAGCTTCCTTCCTTGGCCCCCAGGGCAGGTGGTGCAGACACTGGGCCCCTCTGGCCTCAGCCAGCCCCAGCCCCAGCCCCAGCCCCAGCCCCAGCAGTTGGGGAGAGAAGCAGGAGCAGAAGCCATAGAGGGACATTGGTGGATGTGCAGGGAGACTCCCAGGATCCTCAACACAGCCAGGCGACAGGGGGTGGGAGAGAGGCTCAGTCCATGTCCCCCTCACCCCTGTGCTGCCCAGTCTTCTGACCTCAAGGCACTTTCTTTGTTATGAGTTGGTGCAAACTGAGGAAGAGTAGGGTGCGGCTTGTATCTTGGACCCTAATAACCCGACCCCCCCCCCCTCCGGTCTGTTTTTGATTCAGTCCGCTCCTTGGCCCAGACTTATGACCTTTGCAGCGCGAGGCAGCATTATCCATCACCCAGGTGGCCGCTGGCAGGAGTAGAGGGCTTTGGGGGCCCCCACAGGGTCTCTGTTGTTCCCGACTCCCTCTCCTGAGAACAGCTCTTTGCCAGCCGGCCAGGGCTAAACCAGCGGGCAAGTACTGGGGGTCGGGGCATGACCATGGGGCTCAGTCACGATACTGGGCCTTGTGTCCCCAGCCCTGGCACCCCAGCACCCGTCCTTCCAGCTCCGCACAGCCGGCCCTCCCGCTCCTTCTGCCCTCCCTCTCTCGGGCCCTTTGCTTAATTTCCTATTAACTGCTGATAAATCCAATTAAACCGCCGTTCTAATTAGGGACAGCTGCCGGCTCTGCGAGGCGGGGAAGGGGGGTGCCCCCCGAGTGTATGGGGGGGGGAGAACAGCCGCTCTCTCTGTCTCAGTACCCCCACACCAGCATCGCCGCCCAATGAGCCAGTAAATTGGTTTTGCTTCAGCATTGTGGGGGGCCCCACTCGAGGATCTCGGGGGCTCTGGTTTTGAGTCCCTCAGACTGCTTGATGAAGAGATAGGACCCAAGCCCTAGTTGTTGCCCATTTGTGGGAGGCAGATCCTGCCGAGGAGGGATGAAGGCAAAAGGCTTGATTTGTATGTGGGGGTGGGAGGCCTGTGGTCTGCTGCTCTTCCAGCCCAAGCAAGATTAAAGGGGTGCTACCTGAGTCTTCCTTTATGACCCCGCGCCCCCCAAGGAATCCAGTACAGTCAAGAGCAAAGGAACAGGAGACAGAACCCGGCTCTGCAATGAGTCCTCTTGTGTGTTTCCCTACCCCCACCGCACCTCAGCCTTCTGGAAGGAAGGGGGGCACGCCCGTCCCAGCCCTCCTTTTCCCCAGCCCAGCTGAGCCTCTGTCCTCCCCCCACCCTTTCCGCCAGCAGCAGATGGTGCCTGGGCTCCCGCTGCCAACCTTGCTAGGCGGTGCCAACCTCAGGCCTGGCAGACAGCGGGCAGGAGAAGAGGATCTCCTGGCTGGCCACGCTGACCCTCCCCCCATCCGCCATCAAGCTCAAGACCCTCCGCTGACTCCACGCCAGCGACCACCCCAGGCTGCCTCTCACTGGTCCACTCCCAGGTCCCTACACTCCTCCTTCAGCTCCCTTCCCTACACCTTCCCGCTCCCTGCCACCTGCCACCCTGACCAAGGCCGGTATATTTGCATGTCTACATATGCAAATGAAAACATTTGCATACGGCGCGCCGCAGGGGGGTTCTCCGCGCGAGCCCTTTAGCTGTCTGCCCAGCGCCCTCTCACTTGGTACCTGTCAGGGCTGGGGCGGAGCCGCGCGGGAGGGGTTAAGCCCCCGGGCCTTGCTCGCTGGGTTCCCGGAGGACTTGAGGAAGTGTTGCCATGGAGACGGCACGCACCCCACTCCCTCCCAGACCCAGGGTCTCCGGCTCCTTGTCTCTGGTTCTCTCCTCTCCCCACCATCTCGGCCCCCGTCCCTCGCTCTCCAACCGAGATCTTGCACCGCCCCCTGGCGGCCCAGCTCGGCACTGAGCCAGGTTTCGAAATGTAAGGCGCTGTCCGCAGCTAAATCGCCAAAAGCTTGGGGGACCTACCCTGCAACCAGATCCTGTTCCTAGCCCTAGCGGCGCGGGGGCGGGGACCCCGCCCGGCTCTTTTCTTCACTGACTACAGAGGCTTCCCCTAGCGGACGCACTGTCTCCCCACCTCCCACCGGCTTCAGCCCCGGTGGGTTTCAGGTTACCCGATGGTAGCAAAATATGACTGTTGGGGAGGATTTTCTACCACTTCGTAGGCCCTCTCCTCCCTCCTCGGGCCCTAAGTTAAAGAACAAACTTTTCTAACTTTTGTCAAAACTTTAATAAATTCACAACATTCAACAGTTCGCCTCCCACCCACCCCCGCAACCCAGGGCGCCTCCTAGTGGAAACGCAATTTTTTCCAGCTCTCAAGGGCTGTTCTAGGCACCAGTATCCGATGGCATAGCCCAGGGAGGAGGGCGGGAACCAGTCCCTTCCCAGGAGCCCCGTCTCGCTCTGGCGGGCCTTCCCGCTCCTCCCTGACTCAGCAGTAGAGTTGCTTCCACTCCATTTCCTCTCCACCTTCCACTGGGCCTGCCCGCACCCGGCCCGAGTCTCTCCCGCCAGCAGGCGCCGGCCTGCACACCTAAATCTCCTCCAGGAAGTCGGTGGGGAACAGCCCCACCTTGCGGCCAGTGTAGACCTTGACGTAGCCGCCAGCTTCATCTCCTTTCTGCACCACGATCTAGGATTAAAGGATTAGGGAGGAGAGAAATCAAGGGAAAACAGTTGTAGAGGAGAAGCAGGGGAGCCCGGAGTTACGGAGGCCTTTCCTAGTGTCATTAATGGAGTGTGCAGAGGAGCCTCCGGCCGGGGGTTGGGTTGGGGCACCAGAGCTACCTGGTCTTTTTTTTTTTTTTAACCTGATCCTTCTTGAGGGTGATCTGTCCTATTTCTCGATTCCCCACGAAGGATCTTGTTACCCGGTGCACACGTTCTCCAGCCCGGACCCGAATGATGAAGTTTGGAGGGAAAAATCCGACTTTCTCCCCTATTTTCCCCTAGAGAAGATGGTAGGGAGAATCAGCCTTTTAAACTCAACCCATGTCCCACCCTACCCTCAGTCATTTCTCTTACCCGCCACCACTCCTCATTGGAGTCATCAATGACCGTGATCTTCTCTCCAGGCCTGGCAGGGAAAGGGAGGGGCCTCTGAGATTTAGAGGCCTTCCTATCCAGTCCCTTGGCTGTACCCACGTCCAGCCTCAATAAGCTCCAAGCCCTGAGTATCCCCTTCCCCTCTTTCCTTTCCCAGAGGGAGCTGGGCTCCCAGTCTACCCCCACCCCAATCTTAAGGCCTCTCACGGGAAATCCAGGTCGTCCTTCTCCAGGGCTTTGAACCGATAGAGAGCCACAAAGTAATGAGACTGCTGGAAGCCAGGCTGCTTGTGCTGGGGGTGAAAGGGGGTGATGAGTCTCAGGGCTCCTCTGTCCCACATTGAGGGGCAGGAGACCAAGGCAGGAGCATTCTCCAGACACACTCCATTCTGACTCTCCCAGGCCCCTGAACTAAGAGGAATGTATTAGTTGTGTGTGTGTAAAGTGGTGGAGAAGGCTGGTTAAGGGTAATGGGAACCCGCGGCGCAGTCTGCGCTCTTGCTGTGAGGTAGAGAGTGGTGTCCGACTGGGTTGGGAAAAGGACTGGGCTCCATGCAGGGAGAAAGGAGTCTCACTTTGTCATCAGGTGTCTTCTTTTCAGCCTTCTTATCCCCTTCAGGGTTTCCTGGGATGAGAAACACCAGCAAATTGTCTCTGGTTCCTGGAGGGTAGCCCTCATCCTCTTACCCTTCTGTTATGGGGCCTCCTTTCTCTCCAAACCTGGCGTACCCTTTACTGACCTTTCCTGCTGCCATTGCTGAGCCCGACCGCCTCCATCTCTGGATGGAGGTGGGAGTCACTCACCATTCTGGGCTTTGCCTCCCTCTGGTCTGGCCGAGTCGGGCTCCTCTTCCATCATGGCTGCTAGAGGCTGGAGGGTGCACCAGAGTTAGGAAGATGCTGTCTGGGGAACCCATGCTTGCACTGGCTGTCCAGTCAGGACAGAGGCTAATAGGATGGCAGGGTTGGAAGGAGCCTTGGAGAAAATATCTATTCAATCACCTGCCTAATGCAGAGACTTTCTCTAAAACATCCTGGCAGGTGGGCCACCCACATTGTGCTTGAATGTAGCTAATGACAGAGAACTCACCACCTTTCAAAATAAGCCCATGCAATTTATTTATAGGATGTTTCCCCATATTAAACCTATGCCAGTCTCCCTGTAACTATTAGTCATTGGCCTGATTTGCCTTCTGGAGGAATATAGAACCAATATAGTCCCTTTAAAGATCTGAGGACATGTCAGCACATGTCCTTCCTGCCTTTTTTCTCTCTAATTATTTTCAGACCCTTCAAATCATTCCCCAAGATCCCAGTTCTATGTCCTTTACTATAATGTCTGTCCTTAAAAATACTTCAGTGTATAAGAGAAAAATGGGCAGCACAGCTTTTACAATTCCCTTAAGAAAACAGTACCTGAATGTGCTAGCCTTTCTGCAAGCAGCCAAATCACAGTGTTAGTGCCTTACAGTTATAGCTCCCTCCATAGAAATCCCTAATTTGCACCCAACTTCCATATCAACTACTTTGAAGCCAGATTTCTAGTTCTGTTTTTGTGCAGTTGATTTGTTGTTGTTGTTGTTGTGTGTGTGTGTGTTTTGTTTTTTGGGTTTTTTTTTCTTTTTGATTCAAGAACAGATATATACATTTTTCCTTACAAAATTTCAAATGATTAGTGCTGGGCCTTTTTCTAGTCTATAAGATTTCTGAATATATTATTTAGTATATGTTTTTCCTTCTATGTTTCCCACAAACTTGATGGGTACACCATTTATATCTTCATTTGCACCAGTGAGAAAAATGTTCATAGGTGAGGACCAAAGACAAAATCATGTTATGAGCCATCAGAAATCTTCCTGTAGGTATACACTTCCTAAAGCAGTGGTTCTCAACCTTCTGGCCCTTTAAATACAGTTCCTCATGTTGTGACCCAACCATAAAATTATTTTCGTTGCTACTTCATAACTCTAATGTTACTACTGTTATGAATTTTAATGTAAATATCTGATATGCAGGATGGTCTTAGGTGACCCCTGTGAAAGGGTCATTCGACAGCCAAAGGGGTTGCGACCCACAGGTTGAGAACCACTGTCCTAAAGGACCAGGGTCCTTTGGGTACTGTCATTCAGTCAATTTTAGGATTCCATCTAACCGTAACCGTTATCTACATTAGTCCATCCTGGTTGTCCAGAAAGATATGAGGATATGCTAACAAACCCCTTGCTGAACTGAATGCATCTATGGCATTATGACTCTAGTAATCTATCCTATATAATAAAAGGGTAATATGCAAACTGACCCTAACAGCAGAAAGACTGGGAATGACTGGTCACTATGACACACACTGACCACCGGGGGCCAGATGCTCAATGCAGGAGCTGCCCCCTGGTGGTCAGTGCACTTCCACAGTGGGAGCGCCACCCAGCTGACCGATGGGCACCAGATGCCGGGCTCATGGCTGGCAAGTGCAGCTGGTGTGAGCCTGTCCCGCCTCCACAGCAGCGCTGAATGGTGGCAGGCGCAGCAGGGCAGGGATGAGTGGGAGCAGCACCTGGCCCGGGCTCAGGCTCCTACTCAGCCACCTGCCACTTCGTGCACTACTACATCCCTCAGGGGATGTCAAAACCTGCAGTCCGACATCCCCCCAGGGGTCCCGGATTGCGAGAAGGCGCAGCACAGGCTGAGGGACACCAGCAGTGTACAAATCCATGCACCGGGCCTCTAGTTCTATTATAAAAGGAAATGAAGCTACTTTTGGCCACTAGCTTTGTGCCTCAGTTACCTCATCTGTAGAATAAATGGGTCAGACCAGACGATCTTCATGGACCCTTGTATGACTCTAGAATTACCGGACAAATTCTGTTCCCTGAATCCAAAAGCACAGCTCTTGCCTCTATTGTCTAGCAATGCCAGGGGTCCGGGGTCTAGCCTTCAGTTGGTTATAGTGACTAATCTGACAGTTTCACAAGGGAGTTCCTGGAGAAAATGCATGCTATGGCAGGAGTTCTTAACCTGAGGCCCTCTAAAATTGCATGCAAAAATCTGTCTGTTGGGTTATGTGCAATTTTAGGGGAAAGGGATCCCTAGCTCTTTTCAGCTTTCCAGAGAGGAGATATGGGGTCTCTGGAAGGGAGGTATGGTGCTCACATTTTTCTTATCTGCCTGTCCTTTCTTCCGTTCTTTGTTTGCCATGATCACCCCAGTGCGCAGTGTTTCAAACACAGGGTCATTACGATTTGCAGCAGCTGGTGGGAATGGGAGAAGAAAGAAGACATTACTGGGGAGGCAGGGAAAGACTTGGAGGAAAGAGAGGCTTCCTAAGTAAGGGAGAGGTGGGATTGAATGGACACGTGTGTGTGTGTGTGTGTGTGTGTGTGTGTGTGTGTGTGTGTAGGATCAGGGAAGTTGTCATCTGGGCATACCTGGATCATCAATCTACAAAGAGCTCTAAAAACATCACTGGAAATGTAATGTAATGGAGAAAAATATTTACCAGCACTCCTTCCAGGCAGAGCATTCATTATATGATGTTGGAAAGTCCACTTTACTAAGTTGCTTGGGCGTCGGGGAATGCTCGGAATTCCCATTCTCCTTCTTAGGAGAGTGGTCCTTTAACTGCTGGCTTTTTTTGTCCCACTGAGTGGCATGTGCAAGCAGGGGTGCTTGTACCAGCGGACCCTTCTTTTTACACCCACAGTCCTCACAGAATTTAGCTTCACCTCAACATAAATGTTAAGGGTTGCTAAACTATGAATCTGCCCAGGATGTCCATAGCTCTGGGTCTGGCCTTAAGTGTGGCATTCTTCTGTAACAAGGATGAGTACAGTCGAGAATCCTCGTTCACTTAGAAATGGTTTTGCATATGCAGAGCACAGATTTTGATGAAGATTCCATCTTGGCTCTGCCTCTTGCTAGCTGTGTGGAGACCTCGCTAAATCTTATCTCCCTCAGCTATCAAATAGGGGAATATCGACTCTGCATCCAAGGTGGCTAAACTATGAGGTTGAGAGTGAACCATGGGATGGAGAAGCTTTCTGTTTCGGAATTTGGTTTCTAAATCTAGAGGTGTGCTGGAACCATCTCTAAACTTGCCCACTCCCTCCGGTTCCATGTGAGTCACTTACAGACACTAGCGTACTGCTGGTTGCTGTAGAGTGGGGAGCTGTAGGCCCGATGAAAACCAGGGGGCTGTAGGGTAGGATGGAAAGCATCAGAAAGAGCAAGGCAGGACCCAGAACCCCATCTCTCTCATGAGTGCTCACCCCTTTTTGAAGTAAGAGATGGGCTGAGAAAGAAAAAGCAGGGATATGGAGGGGGTGACCTGAGGAGAGACTGGCAGGGGTGAAGCTGGCAACATGTCCCCTCTCTATTTTCTTGCTCCCGAAGCCTACTCACAATCTTGCCGAAGCATCTCTGCATCTCCACGTAGGACTGACAGTGTTCGTGGATGTTGGTTTTGCAGTTCTTACAGCGAAGCCCAAATTTGTTGTTGACTTGGGAGAGGGGAGAACATTTGGGTGAGGTTCCTGCTTCCCTTTCCCTTTGTACCACTGCTGCTACTATAGCGCTTAGGTTCCTTTTCTGTATGGGACTCCACACCCTCAGTCTCTAACAGTTATTTCCTTAAAGCCAAATCTTGACACAGCCTGTCTGCTACACCCTAAACCCTTTCCCAGTCCCCTGCCTTCAACATCACACGCTTTCTCCTTCCCTTCATGACTCACGCACAATCATCCGGGCACAGACATCACAGAACTTGGGCTTCTTGAAGAAATGATCTTTGAATTTGTGGGGCTTATCATTGACAAGCTTAGGAGGTTCTGGGGGTGGCTCCTCCTCCTCCTCCTCTTCTTCCTCCTCTTCCTCATAGATGTAGTAGATGGGCCCACCCCCAGCTCCCACTGCCTCCCCATTAGCCTGGGGCTCTGGGGGAAGCTCCATCTCCTTTGTCCCAGCAGACTCCTTCCTGAATAACTGCTTCAGCCGCTGTAGCTGAGGGGAAGGGAGGAGGGAATGAAGGAAACCCAATGTTAAAAGAATTGTCATGCTCTCTAGACTAGGTAAAGCTGAAGCTCACTAGACATTTATCTAGCTTGGGGCAAGGGGCACACCCCAGGATTAGGGGGTATTAGGGCTGCAGATGCTGGCAGGCATTCTAACAATAGAGGAGTCGCATACACGTGAGATCAATTCAAGCACCTTTCTTCAAATGCTGCAATGGCTTCCCAGGTTCCCCACACCCAGTGGTCAGAGGCCCTGACTCACCCCACTTTGCCGAGTCTCTGCTGGGGAGGGTTTAGGGGACTCCAGCACCTTCTTTTCTGTCATCCTGCAAGAGGTTGGACCCCACTATGACATCTAATTCCTGACTGCCATTCTCCCTCCCTTATTTCTGTCCCTTTATAGTAGGGTGGTCCTTGAAGGGGAGGCTTTGGGAGAAATTTGGTTAGAGATCTTTTCACAGAGCTTATGAATAGGAAGATTCCATGGAGGTCCAGAGAAAAGCCCAACAGACTGAAGAACTTCCCCACTAGTTCCTCAAACCAAAACCCATCCGTCCATTCTGAGGTGCAACCCCCAAATTTGTAGCCCCAATACAGTCAGTACTCAAGACTGCCTGGTTTAGGTATTTGTTTTCCTGGGAATCTATGGGCAGTAGAGATATGACACACATCTTCCCAGATCTCCTTTTATCAGGAGATTGATGTGTGGAGGGATGGGCTGGGGCATTTGTTCTCCCTACTTCTTTCTTGAGCCCTGGGGGCCTAGTGCCTAGTTCCCAGCTTGCCTCAGGCCTCAGCTATTTTAAGTTTTCAGAGTAATATGAGCCTTTCCTTCTCTACTACTCCCTTCCCTTGACCCCACTCCAATCCTAGCTCATTATCCTGAAGTAGAATAATTTCACTCTTAAAACCTAAACGACTCCTAGACAAGAGAAATGAAGAAGCTGAATAGACTATGGATTGGGGAGGTTGGGGAGAGCAGTCCTGGAAATGGAAAGAGGATGAAGAGGCAACTCACGTTTGGGACTCCCTGTCAGTTCAGTCTGTGGAGGGAAGAGGAGCCCCTGCGGCCTTGGCGGTAGCACTGGAGGAAGACTGGTCCTCTTTCTGGGGGCCAAGCCCCCCCCAGTATCCTCTGAACTCACACCAGCCACCCAGACGGTATTTGTAGACCTAGCGTCTTGCCTTGGTGTCAGAGCTGGAATGACAGGGCTGGAGTGAAGTGGACAGCTGAGTGACACAGCTGACAAAGAGAAATTGGATACGGGGAGGCCTGGACCCTAACTCCTCCCACCTCCCAGAGCTGCTGTTCCCTAGTTTCTCATCTGTGGTGTGCAGGTCAGTACTGGGTAAATTCAGGAGGGGACAGTGTTCATGCTGTATACTCATTTGGGTGATTCTAGATGACTGCAGGTAAAGATTGATTATGAACAGCTTTTCAATCCCCTTTCTCTGAGGTCCAAACATCTCCCCAATTCTACCCTCCCTGGACCTGCTTTAGGAATTAGGCCTTCTACTTCCCAGCCATTCTTTTTGTTGCCATGTGTCTTTATACCATCAAGTATAGCTTTAAACTCAAACCTTTAGAACGGAAAATTTGAATTTTCAGAGTTGTCCTATCGGCCAGACTACATTGCTTTCTTCTCTGTGGGAAGTTGGAGGGGTACCTTCCTGCCATCTTGTCAGGGAGTGAAGAACATGTGTATAGCTGTTCTCTCCAGCTGTCCCCAGAGGCATCTTCCCCCCTATTCTTCTAAAATCTTGTCCTCAGGGTGAAGGGACTTCTATTTTAAAAAGCCAGGCTGGGGGACTCTCGGGGAGTGAGGGTCTAATGATCAGGTACAGATGGCCTCAACAATGGACAGAAGGCAATAATAGCTGCCACCCAGGGGTTTTTATCCCTGCAAGTAATAGCCCCAGAGAACTCCAAACTCTTGGAGGTGGTAGGATGCCATTTTGATTCCTGATTGCGATTCCATCTCCCTCCTTGGATGCCCCAGGGTATGAACTGATGGGTCAGTGAGTTATCAGGCATTCTTATCTCAGGCACGCAGCCTTCTCCTGCCCTGTGTGACACAGCTGAAAAAGGAGATACCGCCATCTCAGAGGAGAGCAATTTGAAGGTGACAGTATAGTGCCATTTTATCCTTTGTATCTGTACAAGTAAAGGGTTATGTTGAAGGTTGGGTTAGACAAGCTTCGGAGGAGCCTAGCTAGAGACACTGATACCCAGACCCAAGAGATTGCCAGGGCAATGTTCTTCGTCATTTCCATTTTTTTCCTCCTTTAATGGGTGGGTGAGATTGAAAAGGGGCTGCTGGATGTTCTGGGTATATGGGCTCTTTAATGACTCTGGTCTGACAGGTTGAACAACAGACTAGCTCTGAGAAGCCTCAGAGGAAAAGCTCCACCTTGCAGGCAGGTGACTTGGCTCTTCACCTTTCTTCAGCTGCATAGCAGGGATGGCTGAGCACACCTGGTGTCTTGGTACTGCAAGTTTAACTGATGTAACTTTTATTGTAAGAAACATCTACTTCTGTTCCTGCCAGGAAGAACCCAATCGACTGGGTTTAGGATTAAAGAAAGGCCCAAGCCTTCCATCCCTGAAGTTTTCAGCAGATTGGATGGACAGGTAAGAAGCCAGCATTCAACCCAGTTCTGGACCCCACATACCCCTCTGCAGCTCAGCCTCAGGGAACCTAAATGAGCGTCACAGAATTAACAGTGGAAGGAACCTCGGAGGCCACACAGCCAGTCAAGTCTCTCAGGCTCCTGATATGGACTCAGAGCTGCAGAGCTGAGAAGTGCTACCCCTGATGAACCACAGGTAGTGGCAGAGTTGGGAGAGCTCAGAACCAAGGTCCCAGTAGAGACTCAGCCACTTATCAGAATTATGTGTGAGGAGGAGGCTGGGACACAGGGAATAGTGTTAAGAATATATGTGTTCATATGCTAGAAAGGCCATCCAAACCCACATCAAATCACTCCCACTCTGTGCGGCTGTACCTACCCAGGACCTTCAACCGCTACCCACACCAGGGCAACAAAAGAGAAACAGGGACTGACGTCCAATTGACAGATTTTTTTTTTTATATTTAAAAACAAAATCAACCTTCCCCCAAGTAACCCCCCAAACAAACAAAAAATCAGATTAAATAAAATTTACAGTGAATATACCTAGCAAACATCTGTATGTGCAATTAAATACTGTGTCTGTTACTGCGGCACAAACCTCAAACAAACAATATACAAGTGTTTTGGGGGGGTAGGAGGAGGCCCAAGTTTTAACTTTGTAGGGCTTGGGGTGACAAGATGGGGAAAGTGAGAAGAAAGGGAAATCAATTTCATTTTTCTTAATTCTTTCCATATAAATATATTCATAAAGACCAAAAGTGAAAAGGGAGCTTGGGATGGTAAGGAAATTAGGAGAAGAGGGGAGTATAGAACCCTCCCAATTCTACCTGACCAAAAAATATGAAAGAAATTCATTTCATGGTGGGAGAAGAGATAAAAAATGATAGAAGAGGTTGGGAAAGGAGGGGGTAGCAGAGGGAGGCCAACCAGGGAAAGAGGGGGCCCACGGAGGGAGTGAAGAGACCAGCGCCAGTGTGTCTGTCTGTTTCTACCTTCATCCCTACTGTCTTAGGCTCCAGTTCAGTGTCTGTTGCCTTCCTTTCTCCCTCTGTCCATGGTCTGCCAGGGAGTTATCCACCTTGCCCCCACCCCTGCTGTGCGAGTCCCTTCCCCTCATATTTACTGGGAGCTGGCTCGCTCCAGGATCCTCAGGTCATAGTTCTTTTTGGCCACTCGAAGTTTGAAGCGACTCACGGAGTTGTTGAGGCGAAGGGAGGCATTTTGGGCAGCCAGGGGGCTGGGAAACACAGCCACGATGGTGTACAAGGCAGCAAGGTCTGCATGGCGACCATTCTCAGCAGTCCCACTACTGTCCCCCCCGCCCCCAGCAGGCAGCCCCTGAGCATCCTTGAGCCACTGGATCTTGGCGCCGGACATGGCGAGCTGAGTGAAGAGTTTGTCCGCCTCCGTACGAGTGATGCCCTCAGGAAGATCTGTCACCTCCAGCACCCGCCCCAGGACTGGAAAGAGAGGAAAGAGGACATTGGAAGAGGGTTAGAATAGGAAGGACTGAACAGTGACCCAGCAGAGAAGTATTCAGTTGACCAAGTCTACATACAATGTCCTCAAAAGCCTGGCCTTTCCCACTTAGTTAGCCCTTTCCTCCTTCTCCAGTCAACCCAATTCCCCACCATCTTGACGCTGATCAAGGCAACTAGAAGAAACTAGGAAACTTCCTCTTCAGCCCAGAGATGTAGGCAAGAAGAGACTGTTCTCTCATGGAGCTGTTACTGTGAAGGAAGTATGACTTCTGCTGATGTTCTTTCACGAAGTGAAAGCCTGACCTGAAATATGTTCCACAGATCCCTTCCCAGAGGCTCGCCCAAATAGAGTCTCTATTATCACCCAGGGAAGTCAGTTTCCCCTCCTTTCCTTTTTGGCAAACTGCTCCAAATAGGGGAAATCCCGAGAGATCTGTATACCTAGTATGGAAGGCCTGCAGGAGGAGAGTCACTCCCCCATATTCTCTTGTCAATCTTCTCTTCAATTGGGTATAGGACACCAAAGGTAGACATCCTAGATTAAAGTCAGGACCACTCCCAGAAGACTCTCAGTTAATAATAGGCCCAACAACCCCCAGCACTGTGTTATTCCCAATTTTTTGGGAATCATTTTCCCAGGATCTGGAATAGTTTGGTAAGGAGAACAAAAATACTTCACTTCTCTAGCTTCTCCTTGTTCTTAGTACAAAGGGCTTCTATTTCCACTCTCCTCCCTAAGCTGGCTTTTCCCAGCCATCATGGGCTGATAATGTAGGCCTGGAGGGGTGAGCACGGTCTCTTGGGGATTCAGCATCCTGTCACTCACCGACATCTGTCATCCCCAGGTCAGTGGAGGCAGATTTGAGTGCTTGTCTCTTACTCCGGTTTCCATGCTTCAATCCACTCTGTCCCTTCAACATGGAAAGATAATGCTCATCCTGGGTCGATAACATTGATTGCCTTGCATCCCAATGTCTGTCTGAGAGATTAAGGAGCAGCACCCAAACCTGAGGACCCCATCCCACCAGGCAGTCAGATTGGCCAGCAAGTGGCCACTGAGAAACAAAGAGACCCCTCCTCCTGACACTGGAGTGGGGTGGGAAGAATGGGTGCTGGAGTGGGCCCCTCCTACTCTGTCCACTCTCCCTGTTTTGTCTCCCTTGTCTACCCTGCTGTTGAGGTGGATGGCTCAGAGATAGGAGCCTGGATGAGACGGGGTGTCTGATGGTCCGAAGGCTGATGGGGGACACGCTCACCTGGTGCACTGTGTAAGTCGACTGGCCATGGAGCAAAGGAGGGCAGATGGACAGATTGTACTGTAATGGCTGGCCCAAGAGGGAGTAGCGCCCATCACCTAGGAAGGAAGAGCAGATAGTTTTCTGGGAGTTTGAATTTTATGGTATGATTTTTATAAGATTTCAGGGGGCTTTGGAGATAGATACTGTTTCTACTTTTTCTATTATAGGAGTGCCCATATGACTGATTTAAGAGTTGTCTCTCTCCTAAATCGCTTGGGTCTCAGCTGTATCTCAGACAAATGGGGCTATTAGGTTCCAACATCCTTCAAGGGTTTTGTCTACTGTAGACAGAAGGTCCTGGAGGAAACCTACAGACCCTTATGAATGTGTTTCATTTATTTTTTTTAAAAATATATTTTTATTGATTTCAGAGAGGAAGGGAGAGGGAGAGAGAAATAGAAACATCAATGATAAGAGAAATCATTGAATGACTGCCTCCTGCACATATCCCCCCCCCCCCCTTACTGGGGATTGAGCCCCCAACCCAGACATGTGCCCTTAACTGGAATTGAACCTGCAACCCTTCAGTCTGCAGGCTGACACTTTATTCACTGAGCCAAACCAGCCAGGGCATGTTTTTCATTTCTTATATAGATTCTCCCCACCCCTTATCCAGGCATAAATTTTCTGTCTCATGTCAGCATACAGTGTAGCAGGCAAGAGTACAGACTTGGAGCCAGACTGCCTAGGTTCATATCCTGGCTCTGTTACTGAAAATGGAATGTTGGGTATGTTTTCCCCTCATTAGTGTTGTTGGGAAGGTTAAATGAATATAAGAAATGTAAAGCACTTACAGCAATGCATGATACATACTAAGCACTATTAGTGTTAGCTATTATTGTTGGTAAATATATTTTAGAGCACTTTAAAGTTTTTAAACTACATTTTCATCTTATTTTTATACTGTTTGTGACAACCAAGGCAGAAAGCAGATAAGATTATTCCCATCATATTTGTGATTAAGGCTATTGTATGGATTAGAAAACTGAGGTCTGGTTCCAAGTTTAAGTAACATGTTCAACATCACAAAGCTACTTATTTAAATATGAAGCCAAGTCTTTCAACTCAAACCCAGCATTCCCTCTTCTAAAACTATGCTGTGTCTGACACAGCCCATACTCCCAGGCCTCAGACTCAGTATTGAGGGGTTGAACGCTTTCGTTCATTAGAAAGTTCAGTGAGCCCTGGCTAGTGTCGCTCAGTTAGTTGAGTGTCATCCAATGCACCAAGAGGTCGCAGGTTTGATTCTGGTCCAAGGGCACATGCCTGGATTGTGGGCTCGATCCCCAGTGGGAGACTTGCAGGAGGCAGCCGATCCATGATT